CTCCTTTTGTTGCAGTAATTGCCGATGAAACGACTGACGTAGCCTGTGAATTTCAGTTAGTTATTATTTTCAGATATTTGTGTAAAGGACAATCAGTTGAGAGATTTTGGAGATTTTACGTCCCCGACGGACACGATGCCAAATCAATCGCTGCATGCGTTTTAAATGTTGTAAATCCATTACTAGATCAAAATCCAAACAAATTAATAGCTCAAAGCTATGATGGTGCGTCTGTTATGAGTGGTGAATTGAATGGCGTTCAAAAAATTATTAAGGAAACTTATCCACTTGCAAATTATGTTCATTGCTATGCACACCAGTTAAATCTAATTATGACAAGCGCATGCTCTGTCAATAAGCAGGCTAGAATATTTTTCCATAATTTATCTGGATTGTGCTCTTTTTTTTCGACGTCTCCTCAAAGAACAAAAATTTTGGATGAAATAGTTAATTGCAGATTGCCAAGATCATCCCAAACATGTTGGAATTTTCAGTCACGAGGTGTTCATACAGTTTATGAAAATAGGAAAGACCTGATTGAAGTTATGGACAATATAGAAAGTACTTCACGCGATTCTTCGTCGATTAATCAAGCCAGTGGGTACAAATTAAAGCTGCAAGATACAAATTTTGTATTTTGGCTAAGTATATTCCATAAAATAATGCCACATGTTGAAATTGTCTTTAACCAATTACAAAAAGTATGCACCGATTCTGTTAAGGTCAAAAATGATTTAGAGAATTTTGAAGCAGCAATTCAAACTATACGAGAACAAATGGATAGCATTATTGACGAGATTGAACGAGTGCAGAGAGAAACTGATGAACCGGCAAGAAAAAAAAGGCAAGTTGAAGAAGGCAGCAAAAAACGGGAAGCGTTAGAAATATGCGATGCAGTATTATCGCAAATAAGAACAAGATTTAACTTTTCTGGACATTTAGTTGCTTCTAATTTATTTGTGTCTGAAAAGTTTTCTGTTTATAAACATCAGTTTCCTGAAGCACATTTAAATGACACATGCACACAATTTTCATTTTTAGACAAAAACAGGCTTAAAACTGAAGTATTATATCAGAGAGAAGAATTGAGTACTACTTCTGGAGCTGTTCCACTATCCATTTTATTGAACGAGGAAGGATTAAATTGTACGTTTCAAGAAACTCTTAAGCTCTTAAGTATTTTAATCACTATACCGATGTCAACATCTGAAGCAGAACGCTCTTTTTCAATGCTGAAACGGATTAAAACTTTCCTCAGAAACACAATGAAGGAAGAAAGGCTTAGTGCTTTAGGAATGCTGTCTGCAGAAAAACATTTTGTTAGTGGCATTGAAAATTTTAATAATAAGGTAATAGAAAACTTTGCTACCAAAAAAGAAAGAAGAATGGACTTCATGTATAGAAAACTTTGAAGTTATAGGTACTTCTCCACACTTGTTTTATAATTTGGTGCGCGTGTGTAAATAGTTTTATTTTTGATTTTTTTTGGACATATAGATTTATTGAACCTCAAGAACTTTGACCACTAACTATCAGGGGTAAGTTATAAGTTATTCTTTATAATTTTGAATCGATTCAAAATTATGGCTTCCATTCTGGCACTACCTCACTGAATTGGCACGAGCCGCCACTGGCACTCGTGAGCTACATCTCGGCTGCGCCTAGCCGTAACTAGAAGAACCCAGATAGCTTTAGTTTAGGCGCAAAAATAACTGTAAAGCGTGTACTATGGTAACCGTCATGGTCGAATAATTTTTTTTTTTTTGGTAATATCCTTACTTTCCAACTCGCATTCCAGTAGCGGAGCATTAATTTGTGCTGTTTGCTAAGGCAATATATTGTGATTTTTTTTTAATTTTGTTTTATTTGGCTCTCCATGTACTGTTAGTTAGGTTACGTCAGTACTGTTAGATTTCTTTTCTTCAGTGTGGGTGGTCAAGCAAAACAAGTTCCGACTCACATCTCGGGGATTTGTGGCTTAGTCTGTCATAAGTCACTGGTGGTCTTTACCTTCCCCCCCTACTCTCCGCTTTATTGAGAAAAGAAAAGAACGAGAAGAATCCCAATACCTTTTCCTTTTATTCATAAAAAAGGCGTGGCAAGTGGATATCCTCACACGCAAGCGATGTATTCAGTAAGAATTTTAAAAATGAGATATTTTGATAATTTGATGTCACATGACATATACATTCTACGCATATATTTTGGTGTACATTTACCCTCAAGATTTGAAATGAGGTATTTTGAATACCTGCGTCGAGAGAAACAAAGATTGAATCCAAGGGAAGTATACTGTGTCAACCATGGGTCTACAATGCCGTAACATTTGTTAGTAAACGGTCTTAACTAGCGTATTTCACTAGAAAAATGACAATGATTAATTTTGCAAATCGGGGTTGGATATGACGATGTAAGATTTACATCGCTGTAGCGATATTACAGATTCGCAGACTTTCTCCTAAGATACTTTCGCCGTGAGTAGTGCAGAGTCAACTCACTTGACGCCATTTGGATAAACACAGACCCCACCTGTTGTGTCATGTACTGTGAAAGGACAAAACAACGTCTAATGACGGACATATTTGGCTGGAGGTTTTCTTAGAAGAACGTTCAAACGCCTTGACCTTTGCAGGAGGTCAGACAGTATTAATCGAGAGTTTGGAAAGTAAGTAGGGTTTAGTATGGGGTTAGCAAAAAAGATCAAGGATATAGGGTTTGCTTTGGAAAAAAACCTCTTTTTCGTCCTACTTGGCAACAATGGCCGATCCGTCTTCGTCTGTTCCGCATTACATAAATCCGGGGTCCAGCGTTCGAGCGGCGCTGCTCCGGATCCGATTGTCGGATGTCTGATGCCTGGTGGCGGTGTTCCGTCTCTGTCGGCGTCACATCAATTTTTCAGCCACGCAGCGAAAACAAATGAGCCGCGCCACAAATTGGAGTAAGAAATAGCGGTTAGCTTTTGTTTTATGCCCAGCCAACTGCCGCGCCACTATTACGTTTAACGGTTTTTATAAATCTTTGAGTAGAGCTGTATCTCTACTGCTGCCCCTGGATTGTCTGCTGCCGGTTTACTGTTTCTCTACGAGATTAATCTCGAGGAGAAGTTTAACATGGTTGTAGCAAGAAGGTCAAAACTCTTACCACCATAGCTAACAATTTTTACTTCCTACGCCACTGGCGTGCTTAATTCAAAATTTTGACAATGAGACATTTTGTCTTTTGCTAGTTTTATGAGATCTACACCACGAAAAACACTTATTTCCATCGGTCTGTCTGTCCGTCTGTCCGTTAATTCTTGGGCCGTCTATAACTTGGGAAGTGGCTTTCGTATATTGATGAAATTTTCACATACGGTTTTTATTATTTATTATATGTATATTGGAAATCGGTCCTGTGGAGGCGAAAGGAAAATGAAAATCGCTGGGGCAAAATTTTTGCAGCGCCTTAAAATTGGATGTTGGGGTGGTAGAAAGTGGGGGAGAGTGTATTGTGCCAATTGTTGATGCTAGCAATTTATACGTTTCCAACCTCGGTAACTTTACGCACCTGTTAGATATACACCTTAGGAAAAACCATTGTTATACATGGGAAATCATTTCTTGGCAACAGCGCATCGGCTCGTCTACTTTCATCGCTATTCGTACATACTTCCTACCGTTAACCGCAGACCTGTATCACGAATGAGAATAATAGGCAGATTCGCTGTGTTGCCAATTTGAGTAGAGCTTCCCGAATTGTGGGGAATTTAGAGTTAAGTGTTGATTCATTCAAGCTTTTAATCAGCATGACCTAGACGTTAGAACTTCATAAAGATAACATTGAAGCTGAATGCTGCTGGAGTATAGTGTTTCGAATATTCAAAGCGGAGCGCGTTATATTTTTACGATTTTGTCGTCACCAAATCTCTGTTTCTCAAAATGTACGTCTATTGTAGAATTTTCAGCAAACTAAGCAAGAAACGTGATATAGTATTTACTCAGTATTACGGATTTCTCGAAATACATTAAAAAATGTGACTTAGATACCTAACTGCCCCAAGCTCTTTAAATATAACACCTTAAACCAGGGTTACCAGGTGCTCAGTCACGTTGATTGTCATGTTCTACTGCGCAAGTCAGCAAACAATCTGGCGTAATAAACGTTAGGAATCATCAGGTATTGCCAGATTCCCGAATACCGGGCACCATAGTAACCGTTATAGTTGTGCTTCAAAGTTGTCAAATCGCCCCTATGGCGCAAATTCGCCACACCAGGCAACTGTGCTATAAACAAACCCTGTTTATCACTACTATTTGATAGTCATATGGTAGTTGTAGCCCTATCTAGCGGTCCATGATTTCTCTCAATACTGTTGTATCTCTACTGGCAACAAGAATAGGGATTACAAAATCATTTATACAACAATATACAAACATGAAAAGTATGATTTGAACCATGAAACATTAATACAATTTTAATAGTTTGAACTTTTTTCATTTTTGGAATACTCTTATGTGGAATCCGCAGCTATTTTTCCCGAAATTTGGGTAGACTTAGATTTCTTAGAAATATGACATATTGCTATCGGCAACTCTGCGAATGGGAGAAACAAATCGCATTTGTTGAGCGCATCCGTCTAAGCGGTAGGCGCCAGCGCCCGTTCTGCCATCTCTCTCTTTTATCACTCTTCTACTTTACCCCGTTGTTCGTCACACTCCGACGCTGCCACATAGGATCCTACAATCGAGTGTCTTTCACGCACCTACATACTTTTGTATATTCCCATCTCTCTTTCGAGTAAAAATTAACTATTTTATGATTTTTTTAAAACCGTCCATCCTCTCTTCCACACCCTGTAGAACTTTCCTATATCTGTATTTATTTTACATATTGCATCTGAAAAAGAAAACAGAAGAAGCGACAAAACTATAGCACACCTAACCTAAATTTAAGTTCAAGGAAATAAAAGAACTACCTGAATAATACTTTAGTAGTGGGTGGTACCTACTCTTGCTACTTACACCTCCTGCATACGGCTCGCCAAACTGTGATAAAGACTACGAATGTAATCCAGCTCTATTCTGTCCCATTCAACTTTGATTGCGTTTTTTAGCTTAGTCTCAAATTGCCGACCTCCTGCATAAACTGCTCTGGCAAGTTGACCCCAACAATTTTCTATTATGTTCAGGTCAGGTGAACGAGCTGGCCATTCCAAAACAGCAATTTGTTGTTGGTCAAAATACGATTCGTATCTTTTCACACAGCGAGCAGAATGAATTGGAGCATTGTCTTGTTGGAAAATGTAATGAATCCCTGCCATCTTCTCGCTATTTCTCGATAGCTGTTCGTGGACTAGGGTAATGTAGCGAACGCCAGTTAAACGATCCAGTTGCTGCCCACACCATAACGCTTCCGCCACCCATCTGCCGCCTGCTCAAAATTGTTTGGTCTTTCCTTAGATCATGATAATAATATTGAAATCCATCAGGGCCGTCCGAATTGAATTTTTTTTTCGTCCGAAAAAATTACTTTTGGCCATCTTTTACGCCTATTGAACGTGTGCTCTGGCAAACCTTACGCGTGATTCTTTATGCTGCTCAGTAAGTGGTGTTTTTTTACTAGTTTGAGTCGTTTTAAATGGGAATCATTATGCAAAATGCGTTGTACATTTCTTATATTGGTATGTACACCAGCTTCTCTCGCAATCTCGCGAGCAGTTCGTCTAGCATTAGATGATGCCCGTAAAATCTTTCGCCTAACTCTGTCACTTAGAGCTCGTGGTCGACCAGCGGGATTCTTTTTTGGTACTTTTCGGGATCATTCAAGAAATTTGTAACTACCTTTCTACTCCTTCCAATCATTGGGGCAATATGTTTGATATTTTAAACTTCTTCCCGTAAATGAACAACAATCCTCATCTCTATAGCATTAGGCTTTTTTCCACAAGGCATTTTCTACCACAAAATAAAAAAATATTCGTTAATAGGCACACACGTCACAACATACAAATTATACGTTTCTTTCTCTCTGTATGTGACAGTAAGACGGACCGAGGCGTACGTGTACTGTAGTTTTGTCGCAGCGCTAAGCGTTGCCATCTGCACGTAGTGTTGTCGGTCAGTTATTTTTCTGGTAAACAAATGCTATTACATTTTTGCTATGTCTAGTATTCATTGTATGGAAGATCTCTCTAAATTTCGGCTCATATTTGTGGAACCTTCACCATATAACAAGTGGGCTAAAGATTTGTCGCGGACTGTAGGGTCAAGTGGTGCAAAAATGAGACAGCCGAAATTTCGGTCAAAAACAAGACATTAAATTTTTCCCAATGCAAAAAAGCAATAACATTGTAAAAAATACGTTACAAATTACTTCCACATATCTGTACCTCAGAACCAGACTAGGTTAAGTCCAAATAAGTAGTTTTGAGACAATTGTATTTGAAATATTTTTCTTGCATTGTATTGAATATGACTTGATATGTATTAAATAGTCGTAACTTTCTTATTATTACAGATAGATGGACTCTGCATATATCAAATGAAAATTCACAATATTATCATAAGCTTAACATATTAAACTCATTTTTGATAAAAATTGACTTGACCTAGTCTGGCTCTGAGGTACAGATATATACAATTGAAATATGTAATGAATAATAAATAAACGAAAAAATCTTTTAAATTGTATTTACAAACTTTCGTAGAGACTCGGCAAGTATCGCGTTTTCAAAATAACAAATGCGGCTATGATATTCCATATCGAATTTAGTCTATTTTTATTTGTTGGCAAGCAGGCACGTCGTGAATAACAGGTGCAAAAACGAGACTATGATAATAATGCCGAAGGTTTACGTTCCCAAAAAGCGCCCCTACGACAAAAAGAACATGGAAACAGCCCTAAAACTAATGGATAATGGCACTTTATCTCTTAGAAATACAGCTAAACAGTTTACAATTGACAAATCTGCTCTTTCGAGAAGACATACTCGTTCACTTGGTAAACAGGGAAGAAAAACTTCCCTAACCAAAGAAAGGGAAGTAGACTTAAGTAATAAGATAAAAATTATGGCAAAATGGGGGTTTGCTCTCACTAAACCAGAGATACAACCAATAGTTCAAACCTATGTACAAGAAAACCACCTTACTACCCAGTTTAAGGAAGGAAAGCCCGGGAAAGATTGGTTTAAAAAATTTTGTAAGCGCAATAGACTAAGTCAAAAAAACGCAAAAACGCAGGTTTACTACGTGGCACAAATCCTTAAAGTTTTTGAGAGCGACGTAGAAGTAAAATATCTGAGGCGCAAAGGATTTAAATTTATTTTTCCGGCCATTGAAGAAAAGTACTTCATCGACAAAACTGACATAGAAATGAAACTTCCCCAGCCAGAAATAAAAAGTAAGACCTGTCGTATCTCTCAGCAATATTGGTTTCTTACCGACTTTGAAAAATACGTCGTTCAATAATATGTAGTACAAAATACGTTAGAATAATAAGTTTTCTAATTTAGCTCTTAAAATCCTATTGAAAATCTTGTTTTACCCCTTTTTTGAATTAGGTATGGTTTATTTAACTTGTTTTTGGATTTGTTTTCTTTTTAGTTTAATAAACATAATTTTGTATTTAATTATGTGAGTTTTCTTCAAGAACGTTGTCACAATTTAAAACCTAACTATGTTATTTGACTTACTAAACGCTTTAAAACCCTTGCAGTGTGTCTCGTTTTTATTCCCCAGTGTCTCATATGTTGCCACACTGATGTAAAATGACTAAAAGGCCAGAAAATACAGTGTCTTGTTTTTAACCTCTCACTGTCTCATTTTTAGCCTAAATAGTGGTTAAAAACGAGACACGGTTTTTTTAACAAAAACGCCCTTCATTATGAATATTATGAACTTGTTTTAACGTACATGGCTTTCTATATACAGGGCAATATAACAAAGCCTTAAAGTCCGGTTTTTTGTTGACAAAAATTAAAAGATTTAAAAATCGTCTCGTTTTTTGTACCACTTGACCCTACATGTCAAACCAAACTTTTTGCTAAGACACTTGTGCCGAATATAATCATCTATGAATTGATGACAGCGTTACTTAGGAGGTTTAGGGTCAACTTACTTCACGCGTTTTTTTTTTTTTTTCGATACATGTAGTGTACCTTGTACCTGTCATCAAGTGTCTGGGTGGCGCTAACTAGCAATTCTTTACGCATTAGTATAGCACATTATGTAAATAGGCTTGTGTTGCGCCATATTTTGTCGCAAAGTTGATTTAACGCACGGAGCAGCAAGATTCTGTGGTTAGCCACGTTGTAACCATGGCCATCTGTGACGGAAACAGACAATTTATGAATCACCTGGTATGCTTTGTATAGAGTATGTACACAGTTGAGATAAAAAGCAGATAAGGGCAAACGCGTGGAATGTTCACCAATCACATTTTCACAGTATGAAAATCGTCGATACCCATGTGATCTGCTAACTTAGTACTCTGGCCATATTTAATAAGCCAAGTACGATGTCATCACTTGATATCTTCCAATATAATTACCTGCTCTTATTGTATGAATATTTGAATGTTATCCAAGTATCGATAGCACTAAATAATAGAAATTGTGAGCCACGGCAACTACGAATTAGCTTGCAAGTAGCAAATTATTCTTAATGCAGAGAAGACTGATCCACTTTAGAATATGCATGATATATTCATAAGAAATACATAACATAGAGACTAACCAACGACACTTTATTGGAACAAGATAATATACATTCAGATTTCTTTGGGCCTCCTTGAATATCTTTGGATCGCATTGGAAATCCTTGGACCTTCATAGATTCCCCTTGATTTCTACCCCCCCATATTCATGAATCAAATCACCTATTTCTAATAGTACAATAAACATGGGGATTATCAACATGGAAACCACAGGATAAGTTTCAAATGTTACATTAACCCCTAGATTTCCTCGGACATAGTTAATCTCTATCAAATAAAATCGTAAGATCTACTAAAAAATCAGAAGTTTCAGCACCAGCAACCGGGACCATAATGGCGACAGAAACATGCCCCCCGTATGTTAAACAGGGTGTTTCGTACATAAACCAACAAATCTTTTTGAGCGATTGGGGACGCTATTTGATGATCTTTGATGGAAACCGCAATGCTCTAAGGGCTAGGGTTACCGAGATATGATCGTTTTTCGTTTTTTTGCTGTAAAACCTACCATTGCGCATAAATATCGTTATCACTTTTTTGTTTCTAGAGATAATGACACAAAATGAACGTGAGTCTGTTCTGTAATCTGTGCTCAATCATATGAAGTAAACAGTTCGTGCAAATCTTATGACCTTCCAAAGTCGTTCAATCACGTGGGTTGTATAAATAATTTCAAATTCGAAATTCTATTATAAAAAAACTATAACTTTTTTGAAACCTAGTTTTCCTTACAAAACTTCTGTGATTTATCGTCTTTCCAACGATATGCTACACATCATAGAAATAATATGTTGTGCGGTCAGAAGAAGAGAACAGTTGATTAGGTCCAGGAACAAAGAATTTCTTGTTTCGGTTTTCCATATTTTCATTTCATGAGAACAGGTAACAGCGTTTTTTCGAAATGACTGGCTACTTTTCGACATGCCCTATGTCTCATTCATATTTGATCGGTTGTTGTCCGAAGACGCATCTCTTCTTTCATCAGTGGAAATGAGGCTTCTATCCTGTGGACTAACACCTCTCTGCTAGGCACCTCTGTCGCATACACCAATTCCTCCGCTCCGGCCCATGTCAGTGCTATTGAGCTAGCTACAAGCATTGAACAAAAAAATTGAATTGGTCAAGTCATCCAAACAGGCCCATGCGCAGTTAGTACATGATCCCATTCATTTGGTACTCGTAACGCTAACGCTAAATTCTTCCCTGCCCTAAGTATCGACCATGTTGCAACGCTGCTGGACCACAACAGTCAAACAGCGCCAGCCACGTTACTATGACATCCCCTGCTGGTGATGCTGTCAGGCGCAAGGCAGGGTTCGGCGCATGAAAGTCGGCGTTGCATTGTATCTTTTCGCCCGACCGCGTCTCTTGTCTAAAAATATTATAGTAGTAGCTACAAGGGAGAAATCTTTGATGTGCGAAATATGTACTGATCGGTACGAAAAATGAAATGGGGCTGGAAACGTATCAATATACTGCTGCTGACAAAATGAGATATACCTTCCCCCACCCCCTACAACCCCAATCTCCGATTTTCAATCAACCCCTACAACAACTTTTCTGAAAATGATTCAGAGCCTCTGAAACGTCAAAAAAGTAAGTACAGGG